CATTTGTCGTTAGGCATGCAATTTGGTGCTGTTCCAATGCCTTCTTGCTTGGGAAGATCTAGAAAATGAAATAGTGGCTCACAGAAAACAGCACAAATGGACCAAAACATTCTCTTCCGGCGGGACTCCTATTGTTTCCTGGCTGTGCCACGGATCGTCCCCTTTTCCAAGTGTTGTTCACAACCATGCTAATCCTGGGCTTTGATTCAACGCCATTTCAGGATGAATTTGTCATCGAAACATATGGATGAATTGAAAAAGAGATGACTATTTAGCGACACACGAACAGTAGGCCCTTGCTAAAACATGGGGGACACGCCTGTCGTGAACGGAGCCCTTTTTCGAAAAATGTTGTGGACCAGGACGGAATCGAACCATTCCCCTTCACGTTCGGGCGCAATGCGTTACCACTACACCACCGGTCCTTGTGCTCTAGATTCAACCTGGCAGCACATTCAATGTACGTCTGCCTTTCAAGGCAAGATACCCCTTTCTTTTATTTCCTTTTGTTCCTTGTGGTGGCTTCTTAGCTGGCTTCCCGCGAATTTTGTGCGATAACGCTCGATATCGGTCATGACATATGGGAGGTTTAGTTTTATGATACGAGCGCCTCATCTTAAGCTTAAATCTTAATATTTAATATTTTAAGATTCCACGAGAAGGGAAACGAAGCTTTTTAGGACCAGTGACTCGCTCCGATGCGTTGATAAGTTGCAGTCACCTTTACCAGGTTCCTGATGTAGGGAAGTGATATGCTAAGAAAAGCGTAGATTTAGGATCTAATTCAAGCACTTAACAGCAAAAACGTAACTCAACTGAGCTTGCTATCATTTGCTTAGCCTGATTTGTGAAAGAGATTCACGATTCGTCACTTTTAAAAAGATTATAAAATTTGAATATCAGAAAACTGACCTGTGAACAAACACCGCAATGTTCCAGTGGTCGCTTATGCACTTTAAGATGACGGCGCAGCGATGGTGCAGAAGCCAGCTGAAATTTTTTGAATTAAGCAATTAAACGAGAAACCCAAAAAAACAAATTTTAAGTCCCAAATTTAGCAAAATACTTGGAAACAGTGCTACGAGAGGGAAACAAATCTGCTACCAACTTGCTTGTAAGCAGCTGTGTTAATGGATGATTGCTAAGGGACATTTTGCGGCTTGGGTTACCTGCAACAGTGCTTTCGCCTCTCACAGGGTAAGATAAAAGCCCTTCTTCGGCAGTTGATAACTTCCTTGTTTTTGAGGATGATGATGAAACCACAAAATCACCTGTTTCATGCAAATAGGACATCTTGCCGATGTATAATAATTATCAGGATGATCAGCACGAACATGACTGTCCATATGTAGTTTCAACGAGGATTTCAAGGTGAAAGTTCGCCCGCAACGATTACAAGAGTATGGCCGTTCGCCACTGTGGATCCGATAGTGCCGTACCAAATCCGAGGTTTTTCCAAATGCTTTCCCGCAAATACAGCAACAAACAAGTCTTCGTCGTTTATTTTGTTTCTAAAATTTGCTGGCTACTTCGAAAAAAAAGGACTTTTTGTAGCTGGTACAATAAGCGGCATTGTCAACAAGGTCTGTAAAATCATCGGAATACTTATGTAGAGTTCTTGATGCTACCGAAAAAGCACTGATATGAATCAGACCGTAACATCCCGAACTTCTTTTCCCCATAATACAACTACCAGCACCTACTGTTAAGCTTACTCCCCAGTTTTTGATGAAAAAAAAAAGTGGATAGACCCATTCGAAATCCTAATCGTTAAGTTTACAATCAAGAAGAATGGAGAAGTTACCAGCTACAATAATGGCGAAAAAAAGGACGAAGAAATAAACATCAACGTTTTAAATTACTGATTAATTATAACTAAAAATACCTGTGCACTGGATGGTCCTTCCTCAGCAATCATTGTTTCTTCAAGCGAAGCTGAAAAAAGTACTGTGCAAAAAAATTATGGAAACACCACTTTAGAAGTACATATATACTTCGACAATTCGAACAGCCGCCATTCATAGCGTCTTCCTTCTATTACGCAGTTGCTTTTGACCAATGTTGCATCGCCTAATGGTCATTTTGGTGATCCAATTGAAGGTCTTATCAGCTTAAGGGCCTAGAGAGCCATTCAAGCGCCAATTCACGACCGCACGTAAAAACCCCCAAACAAACACAGATGTCTGAAGATATTCGCAAAATGTATGGAAACTGTGTGAGCACCTTGTTCAGGATGTCGCTTTCTCACGTGCACTTGCAACGGTTGCACCGAACTAAACACACATGTACATTCGGGACATCGAAAAACAATACGTGATGTAACATCCGCTGGATGCAGCAATCTTACATGTCGACGCAAATTTCCAGCCTGTAACAAATATATACGTTTTCTCGAGAAAAAAAATTTTTGAATAAATTTATTTTTGAAAAAAACAGATCAGCGATTAAGCCCATCAGCACTTGAATGGTCACACTGTGCTGTCAAAGAAATAGTGAAGGAAAACCCTCCTTCGACGTTTGCAAGTATATGTTTATTCATCGAAATACATGAGAGAACTGTGGAAAGGATGGATGTTCGACCGGTCAAATCTAGCTCTCGACTTTTGTACAACAGCAGTGCTATTGCCCACTGCGCCATATCCATCAGTTATTACTACTTAGTATTCTCTAATAATGATAAAGAAGATATATTCCGTTTAGTAGGAAAATAATAAAGCTAGAAAATAAAACGAAAAAAAAAGAAAAAAACTCATTCGTACCTGTGAAAAAGAGGCATCACATAATGTACATTTATGGATCTGTGCAGTATCGGAGCTGTGCGTAAGCTTGTGCTGCGCTAATGATGATTTCTGAGAAAATCGTTTTTTGCAAATATCGCAAATAAAGCGACGCTCTTCTAAAAACATTCGAAATCACTATCCAGGCGGGAAGCGTAAAATCGACTTTGAGGCTAACTAGGGTAAACTTTAACTTGAAGCCGAGAATGTAAAAAGTTTAACTTAAAACTAAGAGTTCGAAAAACAACACCAAAAGCTCACTTGTATGCACAACAAAATGCCGATCCAGCTCAAATTTTTTGCAAAAAGTTTTGTTACATACTGTACATCTGTGTGCTCGGTCGCCGGGATCAGGCTCTCGTTTTCGCTTTTTCCGCTTCATCGTCTTGCTAAAAAAAATTGTAATACACAATGGTTTTTCCAATCAAAAGTACACATTTGAAAGAAGTATCGCTCGAGCCAAATTCGCCTGGTGCTACCCTCTGGACACAACAAAAGCATGCCCTACAGAAACACAGAACCTGCTTCATGATGGCAGCGCTGAAAAAGACGATGTGTGGTCCGACTAAAAAAAAGAACAGAAAATGAAGAAATGTGCAAAATAACGCTCTTATATAGGGCTAAAAATTTGCATACTTTAGCATAATTAGCAAAATTAGCATATAAAAAATTAGCATACTTTATTTTGCGATGCAACTGCTCGTGCTCATCCATGGCCTCTTTGGTTAACATAACGATGCCACATTTTTTGCATATTTTAACTGTTGTAACATCTTCCATGCGTGGATAATAATGTCGCAAACGCATATGTCTATTCAGAAGTGCCTGAAACATAGTGGCTCACAGAACAAAAAAAAAATATTTCGTGGAAACAGCACTTTGCTTCACTGATGATCACGAAAAAGCCTTCAAATCGCCTCCGGTCATTCTCCGACTCTAAATTTATATTTAGACAATTTTTTTTTTCAATGTTTACGCCACTGGAAAGCCCCAAAGCCTCCTTGTGTCCATTGTTTGACTTTTTTTCCAAATTTCATAACTCAAGAAAGTAGGCGAAATTCTTATCATGGCTGCTCCAGTGAAAACTTTATGTCCTGTTATCAATATTCTGGTCATTCTGGTGAAAGTCCCGTGATATTTGATATTCAAAAAGGATCTTTCGCGGAAATATAAATTCAGTAACAAAGAAAAAAACCTGAAAATCGAATTCTTCTTTACAAAATATACAGACAAGTGAATCGTTGAGGCAATGAATTTGCAGATGCGCATAATATGCTGCTGCACGACTATATTTCTTTGGGCACAATGTGCACACATATTTACCATCTTCCATCACCGCCTGCTCGTGCTGCCCCATTGTGTGCAATTTCAAATTATGCTCCTTGTTATATTCCTTACCACAAGCAGTACATCTGAAATACACTGACACTTATTCTGATGCATAACATTAATTTTTTTCAAGGTCGAGGCAATATTTATCACTACTCTCTGGCGCATGAAGTCAGACGACAAAGCGAGCAACAATGCCCCGCCCATCGCATTATACGCTTGTGGAGCAGACGCATGACACCGCACACTACTCATCTGACGGAGAGTCTGACTGTCTATACACTCACTTACTTCACTCCACTGCTCTCTCCGTCATAGCCAACGCTCACTCTTCAACTTTCGTCAGTGACCACATTTCGCATCCGTATGTCACCACCTTCAAAAAGAAGTAATGAAGAGAAGGGCACGATCCTTCGGCTGGATACTTCACGGCCATCAACTATGCTATGAAATACGGCAGCTCCTCTAATTGAAATTTGCAGATGAAGTTCATATTCACTTCTTGTCAAAAACAGGCATAGCTGTCAGCTTCTTCCAAATCAACACCGCCAACTGGCCATTTTGGTGCACGCATGCCGATACTTTCGTCTTCAACGCGCTAATTTTCATGCTTGAGCTCTTGCTATAACTCAGATAACTCTAGTGAAGACTGCTTAGAATAAGAAATATATTTTCGCGAAACGTAAATTATTTAGCTGCCCGTCATCGATCTCCACATCACTTTTCCAATAAGCTTTTTATTCGATTTTCGAGGAACTGTCGCTAAATTGATAAGCTATTTGTAGTTCTTGATGTGACGGG